CAGGGAGGCACTGTGGTGTGGCGGCTAGACGTTCACCACCTGCAGCTCATGAGGTTCAGGTCTTGATGGAGCCAGACTTTTCTTTCTTTAGAAACGACCCAGGTCAACCAAGCCTCAAATGGGTAGCAGGCAGAGTCCTGGGAAGTAAAGATGGCTGGCATGGTGCTGACATCACTCACCAAATGCAGATTGGTCTATAAAATTTAGGTCTAGCCAGAAGGCGTGGGGAAAAAGGGTTCTTTTACTATAGGTCTATAGGTCCACAACTTGATGTAGCCATCATGGGTGTCCCAGTTTAATTTTCTTTGAGGTTGAATCGAGTGTCAGGGATTTACCCTGTTCGTTTTCTATTCAGGATGTGACTTTTGAAGTTTCATGGGGTGGTGAATTATAGATTCTAAACATGATGCTGTCTCCTGGGATAGTGAGGAATTTCCTTGTTCTGCTCCTGTATTCCCTTGCGGGCTATCAAGCACACATCTGTTCTAGAGGAGACTGCTGGTGGCACTACACACAGATGAGGGGGAAAGGTTGTGACAGCTGAACATTGGGGCTGTGGGATTTTAAATGACAGGCTAACCCAGTTAACAAGCTTCAAGAAGTGCTGTCTGAGCGATTTAAATACCAACAGGCACAGCACAATTACATCAAAGTGTTCTTATTCAGTAAGAGAATGAAGGAAAACATGATTGCAGAAAGGATAAGAGGAGTCGCCGTGGCGTAGCAGCTAGATACTCACGTGCAGATTGGAAGGTTGTGGATTTGCTCCATGGTGGAGCTGGACTTTTTAAAAAAATTACCTTGACTACCAGGTCGACCCAGCCTTGAGTGGGTACCGGGTGGTCCCGGGAAGTAAAGGCGGCCAGCGTGATGCTGACCACATTACCCATCTTGTGTCGTTTGATTTATAAAAATATAGGTCTAGCCCTATATGCCTAAAGGCGTGGAAAAGGGTCCTTTACTTTTAGAAAGAATGAGAGCTAAGAGAAGAAACACACTAAATATATATGATGGCAGCAACAGTCCTTCAATGCCTTGCTCTAATTGTGGAAGACGTCTCATCGCAGGCAGGCCTTGCTAGTCTCACTCGCCAGCACCATGGGGTGAAAGTCCCGTGCCCCCCTCATACTACAATATAGTAGTCCATCTGGAAAGGCAGGAATATGAAGACAATAATAAATACTGCTGATAGAGCAGCTCCGTGATCTGGAATTTGCTAATGACATTGCTCTTCTTTTCTACACACACAAATCAGAGGCAAGATAAAAACACTTGATGGGACATTACATCAATTGTTCTTCTTCACCATTCTGAGCCCTTGAGGTGCAGATTTCACTCACCATTTATCTCTGATTGGCTTTATCTTTCTAGTTGCTGACTCCAAGTATTGTAGGTCTGCCTGTATATTATCTCTTAGTCTTAGTCAAGGTTTCAACTTCACTGCAATTGGGCCACCTCACACTTGCTCTGTTCCTGTGCCAGTGAAAATGAAATGTACATCACTGTCCAGTTTGAAAAACTGGGAAACAGTTAGTCCTGGCACAGTCCAGAAATATGCGCCCGCAGTAAATGCATATGGCAGTTTCTAGAGGCGCCAAAGCCAAAAGAAGCCACCAGAAATGCGGTTTGTTGTTGATGGAAGTAGTCGGGCACGATAAGTAGGCTATACACACATAGAATTATTTCATAAGGCAGTGATTACGAAACTATGCGCCGCGGTGCCCTGGCGCCCTGGATAGCTGCGACTTTACACAGAGGCACTGCGAAATATTGTAAAAGCTTCATAATTAATTTAACCAAGACGTGAGTAGTCATACTTTTACTTAGGTTAGGCTGTGGAAAATTATTAATTGAAAAAAAGGCGCTGCAAACAAGACAAGTTTGGGAAACACCGTCGTAAGGTATTTCACCAGCCCACATGTAAACCAACTGCCGGCCATACTGAACACCATGACTCAGCTGCTGCACAAATTAGAGGCATAAAAAAAAAGCTCACAGGACTGCACCAAACTCAGTAGCTCAGGCAGCGAAAACGTAGACTACCGCCCTTGTGTGGAAACTGCATTAGCAAAGGGCTTTTAGAAGCAAAAATACTTTTGTAGCTTAACATTCTGCTACACCATCTTTTTTGGTTTGTCTCGTGGTCTACATTCAGGTCTTTTGAATATGCAGTTTTTATATCTCTTGTTATCTGCCATATTTTTCTATATGCCCCAACCATTGCAGTCTATTCAGTCCTCAAGATACCAGTAATTGATATGAGTTTCATATTGCTTCTCATTCTCCACTGTTTGCACATTTAAAGGATCCAAAGATTTGTATTAAAACCAGTATCTTCTTCTTCAGAATTCTGATCCCTTGAGGCTCATTGCTGCCTATATCATCCACCTCCATTCGTCCCTGTGATTGGCCGTCTCTTTCCATTTGGTGACTTAAAGTATTTGCAGGTCTGCTTAGAAACATCTCTCCTGTGTTTATGGTTCATAGCCTTCGACTCCCTGTAATAGGTTTTCAAACTGATAGGGAGGTTTTGGTTAAAATCAAGGAAATTATGACAACCTGATCTTCCATAAGGCTTTTTTATGTTTTCATTCTGTTACCTTTGCATGGCAGAAGAGAATTAACAAATGAGGTAAAACAAAATGGGGAAAACATGAGCTACACAATATCCCCCCCCCCTCCCCCCCTTGTAAGGAGGAAAAGAACAGCTTGTGAAAACATGTAAATTCCACTACATGGCATTGGGCCAAAGGGCGAAACCTCATGCGCCGCTGGATCAATAACAACAACAACCCTTAAAAAATGAACCACTTGGCAAAAAGACCTATACACTCTACTGGTGGGGAGTCACCGTGGTGCAGTGGCTTGACGCATGCCAGTGGATTAGATGGTCGTGGGTTCGCTCCCTGGCGGAACAGACTTTTTTCAAAAATGACCTTGGCTTCCATGTCGACCCAGCCTCGAGTGGGTATCAGGTGCGGTCCTGGAAAGTAAAGGCAACCGGCATGATGCTGACCACATCGCCCATCTTGTGCTGTTGGTCTATAAAATATAGGTCTAGCCCTATAAACCCAATACGCCTGAAAGGCATGGAAAAGGGTCCTTTACCTCACTGGTAGATAACAGTCACAACACAATTTCTTTAGTTACATAAAGTACTTTAAACATTCCATGTCACATAATCCCAGAACACTAACCTGACATTATTTCTCATTATATGTTTATCTGTCAATGATAAAATTTACTCTGATACTTCTGGCAAGTTTATATAATTTTATTCATTTACAAAAACATGGCAGACAATACATACCTAAACATCATGCGACCATTATACATGTTCTGTGATTAACTCACTGTATACCAGCTGAACTTCAGGAATTAAGTCAAGGTATTTTGTTGGTATGACATCACGCCTCATACTTCCTGGATATCAGACTTGGTACCAAGTGACTTCTATTTTTCTAAAAAGAAGAATCCGCTTTTTTTTAATGAACTAGACTGGCACAAAGTGACTTTTTTCAGTTTCCAAACATAAGGCACTCTGCAGATGTTATTTTTGACTACAAGACTTGATTATATGATGAAGAAATTGAAAATGTCACAAACTTTGAATATCTAGGCTCTATAATAAGCAACAATGGAGAAATTAAAAAAGAGGATGGCCATAGCAATGCAAAGATTGTCAGCCTTAAAAGTCTATGGTTAAGCCCCAGCAAGGAGATAAAAATTAGAATTTTGAGAGCATGCATCTTCCCTGTGGATGTGAGTCGTGGACTGTCTCTCAGTCCTTAAGAAAGAGAATAGGGGCTTTTGAGCTGAAATGCTATAGAAAGATTCTCAGAATATCTTGGACAAAGAAGATGAGAAATATTGACATCTTGAAAGATCTGAACATCAAGGAAGATTGGCTAATAAACAGCATCCTTTCTCGAAAGCTGAAATATTTTGGTCATATCAAGCGCCATGATGGATTGGAAAAAAATTATAGCAGAAGGCGTGGTACCAGGAAGGAGGGGCAGGGGCCGACCGACACGAAGATGGGCACCGACTATTATGACTGCTTGAGTGTGAAAGTGCATGAGGCGGGAGAACTGGCGAGAGGAGTTTCTTTCAGGCAGACTGTGATGAGAGCGACGTTCTGCAAAGGACCTTCTACATGATGATGATGATGAGACTTGATTACTTCTTCTTAGCGCTCACCGAACGTAAACTTTGGCAGAACATTCTGGTTGTTCATCCACTTCTGGACTTTGGTCTTGTTCCAGAACTTGCATTTTGCTTGCATATCTATTTTACAGATCTGGCTTATTTGTATGTGGAGTGTTGGTTTCTCGCCTCTTGGGCAGGTGTGCTCCTACTTTGGAGGCACCTTGATTACTAAACGAGACAAAATTCTGAGTTCTACAACTAAGGAAAGTGAAGAAGCAGTGGGAGGGTTCATTGCCTTAAAGGGCGACTATGCTGAAAGAGACTCAAGTTGTCATGATTGTGCTGGCACAGGCATCAACTAACTAACTAATCATTACACAACTTTTGCATGAGCCTTAGTATTTACAGTAATATATTGATATTTTTAGACAGACTGTCGGCACAACACCATGCAGCAAATTCATTGAGAAACAGAAGATAAAATGATTTGGTCATCTAGTAAGAATGCAGCCAAAACAACTACCAACATAGGTGTTGCACACAAAGAGATCTCAAGTGAAAGCAAGAGGCCGCCCTAGGAGAACATGGATTGATGACATTAGAGCAACTACACTGACGTGGAATGACAGCAGCCATTGTTGCCCATCAAGCAATGGATCGCAAACTGTTTGTCCCCACAAGTGGAAACTGATGGTGATGATAATCTTTTTGTTTTAACTGAGTATGAAGTCAATAAAACAAAACATATATATTTGCTTTCCACATTTTATCCCCATAAAACATTATTTTAACTCTTCTACCTTAGAACATTAACTCAACTCTTTCACCACAAAACATGAATTCACTGACTCCTATTTTTCCCCTGAATCCCCGCTTTGCTTAACTAACTGATCTAGGTTATTAGAGAGTTCCTCCTGATGTGCACTGAGGTGACGTGACGTGGTGCTGGCCGATGCAGAAAGTATGCTCAACAGTTCTCCTCGCATGATGTCCAGGGGCGGTAGTTTCGCCAGATTCAATATATCATCGCGGGACAAGATGTGGTCTTCAACAAGTCCACCTGTGTAAAGAAAGATCAAGATTTTTAAGAAGAGTTCTATAAGCATGACTTTCCTGTTGTCTCAGTGGTTATAGGTTTGAATCCTTATCTACCTGTGTGGGTTTGGCGGCCCCATTCTGGAGGGGGAGGGGGAAGGCCCACTGCCTCTCTGACAAGCATGGCGTACAAGGTGACTAATGAAGGTCATTTCTTTTAAAGTCAGAGTGCATCTGGCTGAAAGAAGAGTAACTGTAGTGAATCTCATTTTCTCCTAGATAAATTATGCCTAGACAGAATGACGTCAGTAATAAATATGAGTGGAATATTTTGAGTCTAACTGGGACAACACGGGAATTGCTGATAGTCTAACTTCACGGGAATTGTAGAGAAATGCTGATAGTCAAATTTCGCGTGAAGTATAATTATTCACGTGTAGAGAAATGCTGATAGTCAAACTTCGCGTGAAGTATAATTATTCACGTGTAGAGAAATGCTGATAGTCAAACTTCACATGTGAAGTATAATTATTCATGGTGATCACAAATAAAGTGCTGGCCAAATAGAATTTGGGTAAATCAGGGAACACGGAGAATTCGGGAATACAAAGAGGGGAATTAGACGGCACACATGATGATCCCCCATAGAACCCGACCCATATTATTTTTTCAAAAAAAAAAATATATACATAGGGACCCCACCTTATATATTTTTTGAAAAATAATATGAGTGTATTTTAGATAGGACATATTTGTGACTGTGGCGCAAGCCACGCTACCTTTAAAAAAAATTCAGATATCTAACATGTATTATATCTTAAAATGACAACTTGAAAATAACATTGTATATTAGAAAAAAGGTATATTAGAAAGTATATATTTGCGGCATCCATCACCTTTTAAAAAAAATTAAAAATTTAGATATCTTGTAATATAATAATTAGGAATTACAACAAACATAATCGGCAATCCCCGAAA